CTCTAGATTTAAAAAGTATAAACACAAGTCAGATCTTTGACTGTGTTTCTATGAGCACATATTTTTCAATTTCTTTTCTACTAGAGATCCTCACAACAGAGTAACACATCTGTTGTTTATACATCTGATCCCACAAAAGCTCACCTCAGAAATATTGTCAAATGCACTGAGTAAATGGAAAGCTACTTTCTATCTAAATGTTCTAAATTTGAAAGCAAACTTAAAATTAAAACCCATTCTGAAGGCTGTAGAACTAATAAAAATAAAAGAAAGCTTTTATAAATATCAGAAAAGAGAAACTTACTCTTCCAATTTATTTTTTTTTAATCCAAAGAAAAACTTCTAAAAGGTGAATGATCCTTGAAGCAATTCTATTTTTCTTAAAAAACAAACCAGCCAACCCATTCCTCCTTTAAAGCCAACATTCAAGGAACAGTGAAGTGAATCACTAAATCTACACTTGGAGACATTAGGAGACATTCAAAGCAGTTTCATGGAGAACTCTCTCCTTTGTGATCAGACTTTTCTCATCCCAGCTTTGACCATACAGTTACCGTGAAAAAATGGTTTTCATTCAGTTAATAGTAACTACACAGATGGAATCCACTCCAGCTCCCCCCTGAACCCTTCACTGTGTTCCATCACTCTCAGACTTGCCTCTTTCCACCTACCCTGCAATTTCCTCTCTACAAAGCCCATGGCCCGAGCATCTTCCATTCTCTTGTGGCTGCCCTAACACCCCATTCATTGTTTGTTTCTCTGGCCAACGCTCACACTAATTTAATCAGCAGTTCCCATTTGCTGCCAGGGCTGCCAACACAGGAACCTAACACAGTTCTCAGTTCAGGGCTGTTTGCTATCCCCTTGCTATGAGGACTCTGAACTCCTTCAGCAACCAGAGGAAACAAAGCAAGTCAACAAAGAATGACAGAAGTTCCCACCATCACTTTGATAAAAATAGGAACTCATTGTTTAAAATATTTCATTCAGCCTCTAATAGCAGTAAGATTTTTAATCTTAGAACTGTATTAGTCAGTAACAGTACTCACTGACAAATGATCTTAATTGCCAATTAAAAAAAAAAAAACAACTCACGTGCAAAAGAAACAGTCACAATGCTTCAATTATACTTTGGAATTCAAATTCCACAAGCTACAGTCAAATTTCATTAAAAGAGCCTGCACTGCACAACAGCACACAATTCAGCAGATTTTATGCCATGTACATTTACACTCTTCAGTTGTTATTTTAAGCAATTCAGTAAGACCATGGTATGAAGCAAAGTTTCAAAGTCTCTTAAACATAAATGTAGTGAAATACACAGTATTTTCTTCACAGTAACAAACAATTGAGTACAGGTGGCTCAAGTGAACAAACCTGGTTTGTATAAAGTTCCACTGTGTATCTTACTGTGGGTCATTCTGCTCCATACAGTTAAGCAGAAACACTCTCTGCCCTTTTCATAACAAGGGTTGCATCTAGCATTTTTACTTTTAAATGGTATCTATTTATAGCTATGTATCTCCCTCTCATTATTCCCAAAGTTACCCTACTTATCTGGCCTCTTTATATTCTTTCCTGGACACCAGTATCTCATCATTCATGCATTTTAAAAGACCTACAACAGCCTTCCATCCTCAAGCATGAGAGTCCTCAAATCTTTGTATTTCTCTTTTTCTTTAATGGAAACATTTTTCCACATCTGCAAGGCCCTTCATAGTTCTATTCCCCATAAACAATGCTGGCTTTAAGTCCCTATTTGTTACTGTTAAGAAACTTCACACTTGAGCTGGTCTCATAAGACCCCCTAATCTCTTCAAACCCTACACTTGCCTGTAGCAGCTGACCTATAAATAAGAGATGCACTGAGGGGGGGAAGCTGTTCATTATGTTTTGAACACTTGCATACAGAGACAATGCCCCCATGCACAGGGACCTGAAAGCAAGACCAAAGTTAAGGCACTTTTTTGATATGCTGCATGTACAAGTGCTCTTAGGAAACCAGGAATGTGACAAAAACTTGCAATTACTCCACGGTGTTTAGTCCAAGGTAAACTTGGAGGTCTCTCTGCAGAGAACGAGTGTCTCTGTACACAGTCCCTTTGCACAGAAACCATGCAGTAAGCAATTCTGAAAATGCTTTGTTTGCACTGTATCAGTATGGAGGGCTCACCCGGAACACGTTGTAAAACCTTAATTGAATTTCTCCCCATGGATTACAATTCTACAGAAGATTCTGCCATGAATATTACAAAAATAAGCTGTTACAAAAAATACCTTCATACACATACTAAGGATATTAATAGAAGGTGGTTCTGCACCTTCAGTCATTAATTTTCAGTCAATTCCTGCTTATATTTTCAATGCATACACTTAAATCTTGAAATGACATTTAAATGACATTCTGCATTTACCACAAAAACATGAACCAGTCATGACTGAATCAGTGTGCTACACCACTGAATCTTCCTGTTTCTCTTCAGAGTTAAAATTACTAAGAGATGTATAGGAGTTTTTTCCAAACATTGAGTTGAGAGGGAGAGATCAAATTAAATTGGCTTTATGTTCAGTAGTAATACTCTAAATTTATGTCCTATTTTGTTTTCTAAGGTATGAGAGAAGAAGATATTGTTTGTTTGGGACTTTAATTCAGTTTAGGAAAATAAATACTTGAGATGTTTCAATGAGATTTGCTAAGTTCAGCTGGATCACAGGAAGGCAGTAACACCTGTATTAGTTTCACACTGAGCAGCACCAATTTTAAAATAATGCACAGCAATTACAAAAAATAAAAACCCCTCAGCTTCTTCCTTCCTCCATGAAGAATACAAAAAGAAAGCAAGACAGGCATTTATAGTAGTATAGCAAATTAGTAGTTCTCAGTCCTATAAAGGCTTAGATGAAAAATGTTAGCACTTTTGTAATGTTTTTCTTTTTTCCACTGTATGTCTCTAATTGCAAAACTAAGGGAATACTACAGCAATAGCAACCCTTCAGAGTAATTCAATACAGAAAATGGTAAAATATTTTATTATGTCTTTTGCCTATTAGTAATATGCAAATGCTCATTACACTACAGCATTTCACCTATATTTTACCACCTACCTTCAATTCATACTGACAGAAATATTCAGTATATCAAAGAAAAATTAATACCCTTCTGCCCACATCTTCTCAGCTTTGGTTTACTACATACAGTACACAGGATTTAACATAATTTTGGTTGTTTTGACTACATTTTACAGAGGTGAAACTGTGGCCAAACTAACCTTACTAATGACACACACAAAAAAAATCACTTATTTACATTAAACAGTACAAATGTTAAACTTTTAAAATTAGTAATTTCCCTTAGACTGTTGAAGACTACTTCCTTCTTGCAGTCTGTTAACACATGATGTGAAAACACCTGCTTTCAGATCAGAATAAATGAAACTTTCCACTGTCTTAACAACTAGGAGAAGGTACAGGGGGATGGTGTTCCTTTCATTCACAAAACTACAAATAATTCATTTTTCCTTCATCCTGACTGCATGCATACATGCTTCAGACCATTCCCCAGCTATTAAATCCATCTGGACCTTGTAAGGACTTCAGAATATCTCTCCTATCTTCAAACATACAAATAAGCAGAAGCACTCCCCATATGGAGCCTCATCCTCCAGATGTTTTCATATATGTATGATTCCACTAAATGCAGCTCTGTTCAAGCAGAAAAAATTACTGACTGTAGCAAAACTAAGTAGAATTGCAAGAGAATGTGGGACTAATTTTCGGACAGGTGAACAGAAAATAAAAGAGGACACCTCTGTATCCTGCAAAGTAGCACAGAACAGCAGCATGTGGGCATTGCACATGCATTTAATTCTGAGATTACTACACTTTCAATTATTATCAGGTACAATGAAAATCAGTGTATTAACAAAAGATGTTCTTATAATGCATCTACACACTTCTATGACATTAACAGTGGTCTACAGAGCCTCAGCATTAAGTCAAAGAAGGAAAAACAAATAGGATTTATAAGAATAATTTGGTACCCATGAACACATTTGTAGTGTTAAACTACTATGTCCTAAAAAGGTACTTGAAAGATACTTCCTTTATTTTACTATAACTATTATATCAAGTAAAAGTAGTGCAGCAATAAATGTGTATGTACATCAGAATTTATTAGCTTTATACAGAACAAAGAAGCACTGATTTAAAGCTCCAAATTCTCTACTTGAATACTTCACCTTGTACCTTGACACAAAGACCAATCAACAAAACAAAAGAATTTTTCCAATTTCGGACAGCAACTGCAATTTTCTAAACTCTGGCTGTTTGTTACCTAACACTGTTTATTACCTGGAAAATCCTACTCTTTTCCTAGGAAGCAGGGATACAAATAAGATCAGTTTAAAAATACTGAGGATATTACTACTGTTTATAAACCTGCAAAAGCACAGGAGGCTGACTTGACTGTGAACACAGTTCTTCAAGCTCCTGTCAAGAAAGGCTCTAGTATGTGCTACCCTTGATCATCTATTGAGTTCTACACAGCAGCTAAATTCAATGAAGCTTTTTTCATTTCTGATGGGGTTTAGTTTATGGAGCATATACCTACACAGTACAGCACCATAATACACAAAGTTATTAAAAAGAATGCAAAACGGCAAATATTTATTGCTAATGAAAAATTCAGAAAACTATTTCATGTTATCAAATGTTGCAGTATGTCTAAACAAATGAGACATACTAGTTAAATAATAAAAAAAAAAAGGTTTATTTAATCTTTGGGGCTGTAAGGAAAACTACCACATCTGTAAAATCAGGAAATTAATAGGTGTTACAATGCCTCAACGATTGCTTCCAATTTAATTCCCTTTTTGGGTTCACTGCAGTCACCCTTGCTGAGTACAAAGCACATTTAGTATCAGACATCACCTGAGTGATACTGGCTAATTTTAATGAGAAATTAGTGGCTGTTAAAGTAAAAGTTTGTTAAGATAACTTACCACCATCCCTCTCTCTAACTCTGTGAGTATGCACACTTTTTGCTTTACTGTGCCCTGTGCTGTCACCGTATTTGTTCTCAGGGCTGTCCGAGCGCCGCAGCATTTTGTTTGGTGGTGAGGGATCTGTGGTGTCTCGCATCTTGTCATGACGGTGATCACCACCACTGGGGTGACTCTTGGATGAGTACTTAAGAGCCTGAAACACATCACAACAAAACAGGCATTGACATTAGGTACAGAATTTTGGGATTTTCTCTTCTCTTCCAAAAGTACTTTTAAAAGTTAATTAATTTTCATTTCCTATTAAAAAAAAAAATCAGCATTAGTCTCCCTAATTTTAATTACCTACATTAAAGCAACAAGTTCTGTAATTAGAACTTAAACCAATTTCTCCCACTGTTACATCCAATGCAACACTTGCTGTGAAGAAGAACCTAGTTTCTCTGTCTTTTCACAGATGGACTACACACTTTCAGCAGTAAATGGGCCAGTTCTTCCACACTTTTGGGAGAAGAACTAGTCTCCACTTGTTATTAGGAAAACAAACTTACAGTTACACTGAATCAGTGTAGACTTTGAATATGTCCTCTATACTCTAGTCAAGACCACTCAGTTTCACCATTACCTTGAATTTCTGTGATGTTTTCTTCAGTACTAACACCCCTGTAACACGTGTAATAAAAAAAAATAATTCTAGAGGGCCAAAACATGTAATGTAATAACTCATTCTAAAGTCTTTACCAAAAATTACATGCTCTGCCTCACTCTAACCTGCTTGGTTCTGTGAACTCCTGAGTGGCAAATGTTTACATTTACGTGAACTGTCACTGACAGCTGCCTTGGACTGCCGTACTGCACTCCAGTGATTGAAATACACAGAAATGCATTAAAACAGTTCAATTCGGGGCCTACAGACATCAATATCACAACATACGGCTTTCCACAGACTCAAACCTCGACAATTGAGTTTCTTCACTACACACAGCAAAGTGCAGTGTCCACCTTATAGGAATTGAAGCTATTGTCGGTAAGTCAAGGATTTGATGGTTTCTGAACATGCCCAGCAGCTGGCAACTGCAGAAATGAAGCCTCACTTGCAACCCCAAGTTGGTCAGGGTCTAAACCCGTGCCCTGCTCAGATTACAGCCCCCAGCAGCAGTTTTGGGGAGAAGAAAAGGCTTTGGGGAGGGGTTGGGGGAGGGGGCTGGGGGGGAGGGGGGTGGAAGAGTAAGACTCCTTTTGTTTTTAGAAGAAAAACATTCACCTCTCCTAGATCTCCACTCTGCCGCAGGAGACCCCGGCTCCCCCTCCCGCCCCTCGCACCCTCCCCGACTCCCAGGCCCGAGGCCCGCACGGGTCGCACTAGGCCGCTCCTGCTCGCCCCGGCTCCGCAGGCCTCGGCCGAGCACCGGGGCCCCGTTCCCCGCGCCAGGGCCGCCGCCGCCGCCTCTCCGCCCCGCGGCCCCGGGCCCAGAGCGCCGCCGGGGGCCGGACCGGGCCGGCCGCGGCACCGCGGCCTGCAGCGGCCGCCGGAGCCTCTGCTGAAGTAGCACCCCCCCGCCTCCCCTGCTCCTCCTCCCGGCCCGGCGGTACCTGGTAGGGCTGCGAGTCCCCCCTGCGGTCGTGACAGCTGAGGAGAAAGCGAGAGAAAGACAGAGAGGCGTTAGCGAGCGCCCGTTACCGGCCCCGCGGCCGGGCCGAACATGGCGGAGGGGGTGGGGGGGGCGGCCCCGCGGGGCCGGGGGGTGAATTTACCCATCACTGAGTCTCTGCTGTTTCCTCGCATACATTACCATCAATGCCCGGCCTGTGTGTGTGAGGGTGAGGGGACCAGGAGGGCACGGCCGCGGCCGGGCCACAGGCGCCGAGGGGGGAGGCGGGGGCGGCAGCGCTCCGGGGGCAGGGGCGGGGGAAGGGGGCGGCTCGGGCAGCTCGGCTGGAGCGGCGCTCACGGGCCCATCGCCTCGAGAGGGGAGACGCTGGCAGCTCGGCCCCGCGCGCGCTGAGACACACCGGGAGCACCGACTCGGCCACCGCCTCCCCCCGCCGCGCCCGCCGCCGCCGCTCCAACTACATCCGGGGAACTCGGGCGACGCCGCGCTCGGTCAACGTCGGCTCTTTCCGGCTCTTTCCGACGCGCTCCGTCCCCTCTGTCCCCTTTGCTCTCGGGCGACTCTGCCTTCGGTAAACATCGGCTGCGTCCGCCGAGCCCGACGCCCCTCAGTCCCTCCCTTCGGCAAACATCGGCTGCCTCCGCCAAGCACGACGCCCTTCAGTCCCTCCCTTCGGAAAACATCGGCTCCTTCCGTAACGCTCGGCCCTCCCTGCCCCTCCCGCCTCGGCCCACTCTTGCGAGCGCTACCTGTCTTCGGAAAACATCGCGTTTTTCCGGAGAGACGTTTCCGCGCGGCCGTCAGGGCGGCGCCACGTTCGGAAGCGCTCGGGTATTTCCGTGACCCCTCACGGGCCGGCGCGGTCGTTGGCGGGCGCACGGGGCCGATTAGCCGAGGGCAGCGCGGCCTCGCTGGCAGAGCCGCTCCCTCGGTGGGGAGGAATCGCGATCCTGCCAGGCAGGTGGGGGCAACAGGGGGAATTGCGGGGGGGAGCTAGGAATGGGACGGTCTCCTCTTACCTACCCCCTCCTCCCCTTCCGCCCGGGCTCTCGATGTGCAGACAGGAGCCATTTTGTGCGCGGCGCGTGTTCCGCGGGGCCGCGCTCCGCGGCGAGGAGGGCGTTAAAATGTCCCTGCGACGGCGGCCGCGCGGGTCGGGCCTCGGCCCCGCCGTGTCCGTGGGGGTGTGAGTGGCGGCACCCGCCCGTGGGCCCGGCACCCGCCCGTGGGCCCGGCACCGCGACCCGCGTCATCCCAGTGTTTGGAAGCTCCGGGTGCTCGCCGTGTCGGGGAGATTCCCTGGCGCTGTCAGTGCCTGCTGAGCCTTTCGGGGTGGTGCCCGGTGAAAGGACGAGGAGCGAGAGCCATAAACTAAAACACCAGAAGTTTCACCTCACAGTGAGAAAGGACTTCTGGTGTTGGATTAGGCTGCCCGGGAAAGGCGTGGAGTCTCCCTTTGCGGAGACATTCAAAACCCACTTGGATGCTCCAGGTGACCCTGTCTTGCCGGGGAGTTGGACTCGATGGTCTCCAGAAGGCCCTTCCAACCCTCACCATTCTGTGATTCTGTAATTTTTGCTTATTTCTGACCAGGCCCTCGAAGTTTGTGGTACAAAGCATCCTATATTCAGGATTGTATAAAGGTATTTTTAATAAATATCATAAACACTTTGATACTGTTGCCGTGACAGTGTCATAGGGACCAGCAGCTTTCAGTAAAGGTTTAAGAGCATTTGCCGAGTTTTCTCCTGTTCCCCTCCTGAAAAGGGGAGAGATGTGGCACATCTGGGAATGGGCATGTTAACCTTAAATAGAGAACCTTGTACTGTGGCTCCGTATATGCTAATGAAGCATTATTCACGGCAACATCTTACAGATTGTTTTTCTCTTTCTTTGTTTGTTTGTTTTCCTTTCATTTGAGTGCAGGAGGCCGTTGCTGAAAAGGGACTTGAGGGAGTGAGTGCAGGATGACTCAGCAGGGAGCTGTTCTTCAGGGTTACAATAATGAACTAGTGAAATGCATTGAAGATTTATGTATGCAGAAAGAAGAACTGAACAAACAAATCCAGCAAGCAGAAGAGGAAAAGAATAAACTCCAGCATGAAATCCAAGTCCTCAGTGAACAGCTGGAGTGTGTATGTGAAAATCTGGCCCAAAAAGTGGCTTCACGGAATGAGCTTGATAAAATACTTGCTGAAACTGAAGCTGCTTACATGAAGATTTTGGATAGTTCTAGAACTTTACTTAATGTCCTGAAGAAGGAAGTGGGAAGCTTAAAGCATTCACCAGATCTGAAAAGTAATGTAACGTGAAACAGTCAAATGTTTGGACTCTGCAGTGCTAAAATTCCACTAGGTGAGAAGTGTGGTCAGCCACAGAACCTTACAGCCACAGTGTAAGCAGAGAGGGATTTTCTTCAAGTCTTTCTGTATGTTTTATTATTTTCAAATGCACTAGAAAATAGATTAAATAAAGTTGCCGTTTTGCTTTAAAAAAATCTAATTAATTGAACACTACAAAAAGTAGCAGATAGGTAGTTGAAGTAGATGGGAGACTGTCAGTTTTGACATCATTGTGTTTCAAGGATTAGAAAAAAGGCATTTTATTGGTTGACTTCAGATGGCTCCCAGTAAATGATTCTTTGAAAACTAGTGGATGCAAGTCAGTGAGATGCTACTTCTTTCCACTTTACAAGTGCTTAGGCTTTACTGCTGGCACCCAGTAGAAATGAGCTATTCAGCTTCCTCTAGGAGCTTGGAGTTCTGTCTGATGCATGCACAAAGACAGCCCCGTTTACAGTAATTGCTTACTTCAGTAATAGAGGGATAAGGTGAGAAATCAGGAGTAATGCAGGGCATGGGGGCTTAAAATTTAGCAGTGTATGTGGTTCATGCATCTTCTGAGGCTGTTCTTCAAAGCCTTGTTTAGAAGGGAGGTGTGCTGCAGTGAAAGTCAGGTTTGGTGCAAGTGCAGACAGCTACACTGGGAAGGCTGGAGCAGTAACTCACTTGGGGGTAAAAAAATGTGTCAGTAGCAACTAAAAGCCCTGAAAAACCACTGGGGTCCAGTTAAAAATACAGAGGTAAATATATGACCAAAGAAGATAATCCTGGCTAAAAGCTAGAATAGAATGTCTGAAAGCCTTTTTAGTGCCTTTTAGCTCTATACTGATCTGTTAAATAATTGTAGTAAGGTTGTGGAGTATAATGAACACCCTGAAGTGATGTGAAGGAAATACAAATGAAAGGTGAAAGAAGAAAATGAGAAGTGGTTTACAGCTATCAGCCATTCTTACAGAGGACATCAAAATAGAACTTAGCTTAGAGATCAGGGATGACATAACAGCATGGCATAAATTTCAATTTAATGCTGTTTTTTGTTTCTGCTGAACCTCTCTGTTCTGCAGAAATCACAGCAGTGTGTGCATGTACACATGCATTTTGTCCCACTTATTTGTGTGTTACAACAGTAACTTTTTAAACTGTGTCTTGTCAAATCTTCATTCAATACCAATTAATTAAAATGAAAGAAGTGCAGTTGAAATCTCCTGACTTGATAGTAGTGTGTCTGTCAGGTGCACGTATAGAGGCAATGGAGATGTGGATAATCTTGGTAATAGCTCTTCATCAATAATAGAGAGTAAATTTTATGTTCTTCTGGTTGCCAGGATACACCAGGGATGAGTGTGACTGAGCTAATCACAGTTTACTTGTCTGGCACTTCCAGGGGCTTCCCTCTGGGGGATTCCCGGTGGGCAGTGCAGAGGTGATAAAAGAACATCATCTCAGAGGCTTTGCTGTTGTGGTGCTGCAGCACTCAGGACCACCTGGTTTATGTTGAAGGGAAACACGGAAATTTTGCTCTCTTTCGTAGCAAAACAGTTATTTATTTGACTGGACATTTCATGACATTCTGTCTGCCCCTAGACTCGTAGTAGTAACTGATTTATAAGAAATAGGAAGATTCAGGAAAAGTACTAACTAAAGAGCAAGAACTTTGAGTTGCATATGTAAGCTGCTGCTTATTAGCTGCACTGGAGCTCAAAATTGTGAAAAACAGTTTGTATCATAGAAGGCTCATTTATAGAGAACAGTAAAGTTAATTTCTAGTATTGGTCTCACACAATGATTACAGGTTTGTTTGCCTTAGAGTAATCATAAATAATGCTTCTTGTTCTAGTGAAGCTGATAAAACTGAAGAAGCATTAAGAGAAGCCTTAAAAGACTTTAAAGAAATCTACTTCACAGCCATTATTATGTCTAGTTTGTAGCTATTATGGTGTCAAAACTAAATAACTGGAGATGATGGATTTTTTTTTTACTAAAAAAACTAAGGGAAAAATGTAACTGGTGACTAGCACTTATGCACATTCAGGGGCCTCCCAACATTCAAATAAAAAGCTGAAATGGTGCTAGAATTCCATTCAGTGATCCCAATCTAAAGTTTCCATTTAAATTCACATTTAAAAGTGGAGAGAAATAATAGATCTGTAGGGCCTGCTATTTTTAGAATAACTCCCTAGTGTGGCAGTCATCCTGCACCTGAAAAGTTGCTCCTCAGAAATAGTGTTTTGCATTATATTCTGTATTTACCCAAATGAGCCCTTTTATTGACATGGTAACCTTTTTCACTGCTTTTCCAGACACTAGAAATCTTGACATGAATAGCTTTTGTTTAACAACTTCACTTTGTTCAGAAGACATGCAGACTTAGTTGGTCCAAAGTATTGCTGGAAGAGAAGTGATAATTGCAGATGGCAGCAGCTCTGCAAGGATGGCCTGAAACAGAAATTCTTCCTGGAATAAGGCAGGTCCTAAGTTTAAAGTATCATACTTATTCCTAACCTAATTTTGTATTGAATTTTTATGACACTCTGAGTTTGACCTGGTGCTTTACTGTAGTGCTTACAGTCTAGGAGCCTTACTGAGAAAAATTGGGTTGCTGATCTAAACTGCTGTGTTGAGTGTTCTGTATCTTATTGAGTATGTGAGGAGACAGTTTTTGAAACTCCTGTCTGTGCCTGATTCAGAGGTTTAGTGAAATGCATCTGGATCAGTTGTCTTAAGTCCTGAATTTATGTAAAGGCAACTTTACCTGGCTTCCAAATAACAGAAGATAACTGGAAGAGATCTGATGATTCCCTGCTTTTATAGCAATGCTTCTTGAAAATGTGCCCAGCACTTCACACACTAATGATCAACAGTTTTTTCAAAACATTTGACTGTTGACTCCTTGCAAGTAAGCTGAGCAGATTTTGGCAGTTACCAAAGAAACTGC